AATAATATATTTGACTCTGAGAAATCTGGACAATTTTCTCATAGTGTGAACATTGTTATTACATTATTATGTAACATGTTATTATATGTTGTATATCCTTTGCTCAAAGATTTTGAGGTTTTTGCTTTGATACATTATTTCACACACCTCCATTTCAATATGAAATTGAATAGAGAGGCTTGAGCTAGAATTTCTGGTAAAAGTACTGGATTTGGCATAGTTTTGAAGATGATTTTGTAGGATATGCTGACCCAAGAATTGTCTTGGGAATATAACAAAATGATAGAAAAACCACAAGAAGCATGGGAAATGAGAAATACATATATGCAAGTATAAAGTAATAAAGCTGTTTAGAAATTCAATTGCAGAACAAACTGCAGTTTTTTAAGAGATGAAGCAAACACAAAAATAAGTGATACCTACTTTGCTTTATTGGCAGAGTGACAAGACACATAATCAGAAATATGGAGTAGTATGATTTATCTCCAAATCTTCTTCACATACCTCAGTGCATTAAAATTTTCAAACATGTCTCTCAAATACATGTGTATGAACTTAAAATTGTGCGTGTATATTTGACATATATTTGTATCTCAAGGGAAAATTTCTTTACAATGGCAGTAGATGAGAATCCATATTTTTGTAAATTTCTGTTAAAGGAGGTTCAGCCACTTGAATTTTTATTAGACTAGAATGCCATTATTTTACCTTACAATGTGGCTGAAGAAAAGCTTGAGTGGGAGTGGAAATGTCAACTCCGCCATGTTTTTGTCATTCTTGTGTTTATATCAGTTTTAATTCCAATACATGGTTTTCTTGCAGGAAGTATTTCAAGTCATGTATCCATTAGTAAGAGTTATTTTATTTAAAACTATGATAATATATTCTAGAAATTCACTTCAATATGGCCAGGTAACCCATGGCATGTTGAAAGTACATAAACTGGTGTGTGCAGCACCAGCAACCCTTTTGCCTTGTGTGGCCCCAGGGCCTCCTCAGTGGCCTCACCTGCTCCTATAGGCACGTGGCCACCTGACCTGTGAACAGATAAGACTTGTGCCCATCAACATCTTAAATGTCAGTGCAGTTCACCTTCTTATTAGATTTTAAAAGTTTTAAGTCATTCTACATCCAAAAGCATGTTAAACACCCCCCTTACAACCATCCCTTTAGCCAATAAAAGGCTAGAAAAAACAATTTATGATTTCAGATACCAGTGAAAGGCTGAAATGTATAATTCTGTGATTAAGCCCTTGAGCTTCAGAGACACAAAACATACTTTGTGATCTACATGATGATGGAGAATTTATGGCACCTCTTCAAACGTTCATATGCCCACCTGTGAAATGTTTGTGTTTTATTTGTAAGTTGCTCATGTTTTAATAATTCTAAATATTAATGGTACAAGAGAAAGATGAGGATGAGTAGGTAAAGTTCACTCTGAGATTACTTGTTTCAAAGATGGAGGGACTATATTTGTTTAGAACTAGAAAAGCAAGCTAAAGATTAGACTGGGAGAAAAGACTATAAATTCTTTATAATGCCCTCATGCTATGTATACTAAATAATACTCTAATATACAGTTGGGAATTTTAATTTAAAGAATTACTCCTTCTTGGGTGGGAATTGATGAGATTGAGAAAAAGTGTAAGAAAAGCTGATGAGCACGAATTTTGGAGAGTGAACTAGGAAATTATTCTTGCCCTTCCCATACTGGAGGGGCTGAAAAGGCTGGTCCATGCAAAGGGAGGACCAGCTCTAGAAGGACACATACATATTTTGTAAGCTGGAGTAAATATGGTTTCGATAGAAATGTCTTTGTAAGCCATGCCTGTGATAGGAAGGTGACCTGCCTGGTGGCAAGAGCATAAAACTCTTATTTGAGAGCCCTGAATATGAAAACCGTGGCCACTTTCAGACCCCTCCGTGACAGCATTTGTTTACTGTCCTTAAGTAATTATTGTGAGGAAAAAGGATGTGAATGAAAACAATCATTCCAACTCATAAATATCTAAGCTAATTTTATTTGTTACTGTTACTAACAGTGATTGCAGATCATTAACAATTAGTTAAAAATATAAACTCCCTGAAAATCTAAGATTCAGAGTCAAGATCTTACATATTAAATTCACTTATTGACTAATTTTCAACAGATCAATTTAATGCCGTTTCCTATAATTTTTCTTTCTCAAGTGACATGCTCTTTGTGAATAATTTCTTGCAATGTAATAATAATAATACCATCCATTTTAATAGGTGACAATAAAATTTGGAAATAGAAATCTATTTTCTGTGTTTTAACTTATTTTATGAGGACTATATATTGGCTTATTTTATAATCACTTTCACAACTATTCAGCTCCTGAAATGTTTTGTTTTTCTTTGGAAAAATAACAAATCATATTCTCTTTAGTAAAAAAGTACCATATTCTTTGTGGAGAAGATTCAGTATTGGTCTAATTTAAACCTGATCAGGTGTATGGTGCTTTAGTTTATTGTGAAATTGAAGTTCCTTTATGACTATCTAGATATATGCCCTAGTGTTTATAAGAAAGGACTTTTGGATTGGCTATAATAGTATATGAAGAAATAAGTTAATCAATTTTTCTGCACTCTGTCACTTACTATGCTAAACTGTGTACTTAATCATTTTCTAAGGTAAAACACTCAGATGTAAAGATGGATTATATTTTGCAATAGAGACGTCCAACAAGACAGCACTGAAGTGTGTGATTAACTTGAAATAATGGTAGCCCTCAGGGCTTCAGGCTTTTTCTATTTCATAACATTTTAGGTCTGTTATTACCTTAGGTGAACCCAATTCCCCAAGAAAGAAGATACTAAATTAATTTTCTGTGACTTATGTCATCAATACAGCTAGGATAGAAAAACAAAAACAAGCTGTGTTTCTCTAGTATTTATGAGATTCTAGGTAGCGATTTTTAAAAACTTATTTCATGAAAACTACTGAATTTTCTATACCCTGATAATGATTGTGGACCCTTAGACATAAACCTTCACACACAGACAGATGAGATTAAATGTTGTGAGGACATACATATGCACACATGAACACACACACATTTCATTTACTGTAAAGAATTCAAGAATACTACTTTATTAGATTTTTCCCTGATATAAGACATAGTAAAATAAAAAATTCCTTCAAAGTAAATGTTTCTTTGTCGTAGGGTCCTCAAGCCCACTAGCTGTGGGTGAATGCTTTCAATTTCTAAAGGTTTTCAGGACAGATCTCACGTGCTACCTTCTTCATTCCTGCCAGGACTTTGTCACCCACACTTTTTCAGAAAGTTTACATCTAAAAATCACAAAAATCTTATATTTTTTGTTTGAGCCAAGATCAACTACAAAATTAACTGACCATAAGTCCTTGTACAGTAAACCAAAATATACATAAAAGACATTATAACTTGGCTAATAGTGGTTTGATATAGAGATGAACTTGGTTGAAATGTATATAAGTAAAACTAATAAATGACTTTTCCAAGCTATATCATTCCACTAAGTTTTTTAAAAATGCATTGTCTTCTTTGTGCATGCTAGTATATAATATTATCATTAGTTTACTTTCAGGTTCAGAAAGCAATTATGTAATTTTCCTTTATTCATATTTTCTCTAGAATTTATTAAAATTTATGCTGTAAATAAATTCTGAACTACAAAGCAGATGTTCTCATTAAATCAAAGTAATTCAAAGAGAAGAATGAAACACTTAAATACACAACCATAAAAAGATGCACCTTAAATAGTAAAAATTCAGTGTATTAGTGACTATTCTGGTAATATTAGAGAAAAAAATTTCAGATGGTGAAACTATGACAAAATTACAGAAAGAATGAGAAAAAAGGATGAAATGTAATAAGAGTATTCATTCAATCCAGAACTACCAAACCTGGTATTTTCCAAGGAGAGTAACATGAAGTGCTAATAAAGTGTGGTGTGTTATATTGTGACTTATTAGTGGATATTTTACCAAGAGTTCTTTAAACAAAGAAATTTTAAAACCTTTGCTGTTTTCCCTTCTTGTGAGTCACGATATGTCTAAATTTTCTGAGAAATGTTAAATTAATTTGAAATATCTAAATTATTTTTTTATTGTGGTAAAATATACATGGCCTAAAATCTGTTGTTTCAAAGTATACAACTTGGTGTCTTTAAGTTCAATCACAGTATTGTACTGCTATCCCCACTATCTAGACCTATGTTTATTGTTGTTTTTCTTTTAGACAAGAAATTTCAACTATTTTTATTTTTATATTTTTAATCTCCCAAATTATTTTATTGTTGTTCTATTGGAGTTATCCCAATTTCCCCCATTGCCCTCCCCTGCCCCTCTTACCCCCCCACTCCCGCGGTCAGTCCCCGCCCAGTTGTCCACGGGTCATTTATACTTGTCCTTTAGCTAGGCCCCTCCCCTTCTTTCCTCCCTTATGCCCCTCCCCCCTCCTGGCTCTCGTCCCTGTCAGTCTGTTCCCTGTTTCCATGCCTCTGTTTCTATTTTGCTCATTTGTTTGTTTTGTTCATTAATTTACCCATAAAACAGTTTCCTTCCAGAATATCTCTTAATTTTGTTTTGTCTAAAGATTACATTTACGTGAATGTTGGTCTAATCCAATCCTCTCATGTAAAAAAAATGAAAACATGTTATTTTAAGAGATTAAATGCCATTCTCACTGTCACAGAGCCAGTATCTCACACAGATTTCTCATTTCCAAGAACGGGGCCTTTTCTCTCTCAACGGAATTTTTTCTGGTCTCCGTTTATGTTGCCTCAATCAGATGGTCTAGTCAGCTACAGACAATTCATTATAATTTTTCTAGAAGAGTTTAGGATTCACAAAAGTATATCTAATCTTTTTTTAAAAAGATACATTACTTTGAAAAGTTACATTATACTTGTTTTATAACTCCCTCACTGCAATTTTTGTAGAAAACTTTCATTTTAAGAACTGTCTTTAATTCACACAATTCTGTTCTTAGGTCTTTTTAAGATTGTGGCTGATAAAACTCCATACCTTACTATGGAAGAAATTACCAGGACCATTCATATTGGACCAAGTAGACTGGGGCATCCTTGCTTTTATCATCAGAAAGATATGAAACTGGAAAATCTCATCATAAAGCAAGGTGAGCAAATCACACTCAACTCAGTTGAAGAAATCAATGGAGAAATAATGGTAAACTGTGGAGTGATAAGGAATCATCAAAATCACTCATTTACTTTGCCTTTGTCACAAGAAGGAGAATTCTATGAGTGTGAAGATGAACATATTTATACTCTAAAGGAGATCGTTGAATGGAAGATCCCCAAGAACAGAACGCGAACTGTGAAACTCACAGATTTTTCAAATAAGTGGGACTTAACGAATCCATTCCCTAAAGGCTTTTATGGTGCTCTGATACTCAAGCCCGTTTACGAAATTCAAGGTGTGATGAAATGTAAGTATCCACTGAGAATGATGCTCTATGAGCAGGGGCATTGTGTGATTTGGAAAAGAGAAAAACTTTTGAGTGAAAAATGGGACTTTGTCCCTGACTTGTCCATTAAGCCCCCTGAGAGTTAGATTCCCATACACAAATAAGCAAAGAACATATTCACTCCAAGGATTAAATTGAATAATGTATATAAACATGTATTGTAAATTATGTGGTGCTAACTAAATGTAAGCTGCTCTGTCTCCCACAGACAGATTCAGATATTCATTCATTTTTACCACTGTTCTACATGGTCAGAAAAAAAAGCAACTTTAAAATATAGAACAGATGGGGTTAGAAAGAAACGTTCTTGTGTGGAAGTGGTCAAAAAGAGGTAAAAATGCAGTTGTCTTGATGTGTCCCTTACTCCTGTTTTTGTGACAACCTTTGCTTCAGCCACCATCACTGGTGATAAATCTTCCTTACCAGCTGGAAGTTCCTCTGACTTAAGGGAAGTGATGTGACAAATTAATTTACACATAGACCTGCTTAAATACATAATTTTCAGAGAAGTATTTGCATTTTAAAATAGGAATAATTGGAGAGAGTATTGTTACTCTAAAGGAATTAATAATACCTTGAATTTGCAAGATGAAGTACATAATCAGGGCAAGTCTGGAGCAAGGAGTTCCGAGCTCGTAGTCAAAAGACCTGAATTCTAAGTTTGGATCAATAACTTAGTAGGTGGTGGCTTTGGATCAGCCAGAAAAATTGTATTTATGCAAAAAGTATAATGATGTTCCTTTGCCTGCCTCTTGGAGTTGTTTTGATAATAAAATAAGCCCTTGCCAGTGTGGTTCAGTTGGCTAGAGCACTGTCCTGTAAACCAAAAATTTGTGGGTTCAATCCCTGTTCAGAGTGCTTATGGGAGGCAGTGAATCAATATCTCTTTCTCTCATTCCCTCTCTCTCTCTCTCTTAAATCAATAAACATTTTAAAAAAGAAAATAAAATAAGATTCTATTCAGGTTCTTTATGTAATATAGAAATGTATTACATAAAAAGAAGAAAACAACTGACTAAGGGGAACGAATCCAATGTTTGTCGGCACTCCCCCGTTTTCAATAAAATTGGTGAAAAACAAAAAAACGAAGAAAAAAAAAGAGCAACTGAAAAAGATGAGAACATTAAGTAGTATGTAAAAATCTTTGGTCAAAGTGTACTCCTCTCTCAAATTCAATATAACTCTGCTCCTAATAATATTGTTGGTCACCCATACAATTACAAAAAGTTGATGTGAAAATCTGGGTAGGTTTTAGAACTACATATTGAATTTTGTTACACACAAATATTTAACCACAAGTTGATTAATTCATTTGAACCAATGGTATAGATGCGGAATCCCACTCAAATATTGATTATTTTAATATTATAAGAGATTGAGGACACAGCATGATTATTTTTTAATTGAACAAAAAATGAGGTCACAAAAAATTTCAGGACTCACTTTAGTGTTTTGTTAGTTATCCCAAAGTGTGCAATCAAAATTAGTAATTGAGTTTTCCTCAATATTCATAAATAGTTTTTAGAGCATTTTCTCATTTTATAATTTGTTAATTTTCTAAAACCATTGGCACCTCCTATCACACAGTTGCAAATAAAGGCCAGTCTACAACCTAAGTATCTGAACAAGATGGTTACACTTAAGGAATTTTAATTAGGGATCATTCAAGAAAGGCTTCTCTGAGGAAATGGCATTTAAACTATGACCTGGAGGATGAGTAGGAGATAGGGAAGCAAACCCTCGATGTTAGTTTTAAAGATGGTTTTATTGTTCAAATATAGGCTTCCTAAAAGAGAAAAGAAGCAAAAGGAGTTTAAATGAAATATTTGTTCCTGGAAATTCTTGGGTATACTCCTTATTACAGGCCTGGAACCCCCTAAATTTTACAGGAAGATGAAATTCATATTAGTATAAGAAATGGAGTGCATAATATCTCTAAATGAAAAATTACATCAGTTACTTAAATTTGTTTCAGAAAAGAAGCCTTTATCATTAAAATCTTTTAATGGTGTTATGTTTTGAAGTATGGGTTAATAATGTTTTTTTCCCTCCCTGAAATTTTAAGGGTTGGAAGCTGCATTCCCCTTAAAGAGAAAAAACACAGTGGCTTCCAAAATTTGGGGGTACAGTTTTTGCTCAAATATGACCTGTTAATTTACTTATAAGCAGAAGCCTGACATACAAGCAGAAAGGTGGTGTTAGAAAGGAAGCATATGAATATTGTATAACAGGTGGAACTGGGAGCAGGAAAACACATTCTGAGTGAAAGACCATCTCATTTTATTTTTAAAAATGAATCCAATCATTACCAAAATAAAAAAAAAAGAAGTCAAATAATGTCAAAAAGACATAACAAATTTGTCAGCAAACTTTGTGCTCTCGATCATCCCCTAATTTCCCCCGTATTCTGCTACTCCAGTATAATTCCTTTAAATGCGCGGTCCCTGCTTTCCTGTATTTCCATTTACTTTTCCAAATCATACAGGGAATTTGCTAATTTTCAAGCCACCTTGACTTTCAACAGTAACCACCTACCATGGCGATGGAGATTTAATTCTCTTATATTTCTACTTCCTCTTTCCTTAGCCAATTCTCTCAGTATATGATGAATTATAATTAATATTTTCTTTATTGTGACAATACACTGCTGAATCAAGATGTAGGTAATTACTATAATTCCATTTTCTTTAACTAACTCTTTGGTTTTCTGTAACGATGACCTTATTGTTTCATGCTAATTTTTTTAAATCCTCTCCTAAGTCTTAGAGTATTCTTTAACATCTCTGGGGGGAAAAAAAAAACAAAACCTTTCAATGCAGTTTTCCACAGAGACCAAACTATCAGGGGATCTACTTTTTTCTATTATTTTTCTCCCTGCAAGTATTCCTCCTGGCCCCTTCAATTTCATGCTCTGATTAGAACCTGTTGCTCTCTAGACCTATACTGCACAGACTGCTACTACAAAAACACCCCAAATCGGGTGGCTTACAACAACAGCAATCTATTCCTCACAGTTCTGGAGGCTGGAAGTCTAAGACCAGGTTACTCCCAAAGTCAAGTTCTGGTGAGGAACCAGTCTGGCTTGCAGACTCCTGGCTTCTCATTGGATCCTCACACGGCAGAGAACAGAGAAGGGAAGCAAGCGCTCTCATGATTCTTCTATGGTCACTGATCCCACTCATAAGGACTTCTTCACTCTACGACTTCCTTTCATTTTAATCACCTACCAAGGGCCTGGTCTCCTAACACCATCACATTGGAGGGGAGGGCTTTAGGGTTTCAAACTATGAATATTGAGGGGTATAGACATTTAGTCCATAACAGTGCTGTTCTGGGATTTGTATTTATTTTTATTTTTATTTTATATTTTATTTATTTATTTTTAGACAGAAGGGAAGGGAAGGAGAAAGAGAGGGAGAGAAACATCAATGTATGGTTGCCTCTCATGTGTCCCCTGCTGGAACCTGGCCTGCAACCCAGGCATGTGCCCTGACTGGGAATGGAACCAGCAACCCTTTGGTTCACAGGCCTGCGCTCAGTCCACTGAGCTACACCAGCCAGGGTGAAATTTACATTTTAAATCATCCCTGTGGTTTCCCTTGGACTTGCTTCTGTGCCTACTAGTGATTTGTGAAATCAAAAAATTACATTCTTGGTTTTATTACAGTTTTGAGAAGCCCATCCCCTGCTTGCTTCCTGAGATAGGTACAGAAGATTAGTTATTATTTAATTAAAGGACCTGAATATTTGAAAAATCTTCATTCTGTACTCACATAAGATTGATGGTTTGGCTACTTATAGAATTTCAGGGTGAAATAATTCTCCTCAGAATTTTGGAAGCTTTGCCCCCTCATGTTCTACCTTCCAGTGTTGCCCTTAAGAGATTATCCACAGTATTCAAAAGTTTCACAGCAATGAACTTTGTGGTGGGTGGTTCTATTATTTCACTGTGATGGCAGTTTTCAGTGGGGAAGTTTAGGTCCTTCAATTCTGGGGTTATTTCTTTGATAATTTCCTTTACCCATTTTTGTCTTTTCTGTAACTTCCGATCTCTCGTTGAAGCCCCCATGCTGATCGAGGAGTTTTTTCTTCTCTGCATTATGTCTCCTTGTCTTTGGTTTACCTTCAGGGAAAATTCTTTCACTATGTTTCCAACTGTTTTAATGAATTTTTAATTTTAGCAGTCATGTTTTTAATTTCCAAGAGTTATTTCTTACATAATTTAAAAATGCTATTGTGTTCTTATTTTAAAGTAGCAATACATTATCTCTCTGCGACTATTTTACATTTTTTCAAGTTTTCACCATTTCTTGCACTTTACCTGCCTCTTTTGAGCTTTTTAAGAAAAAATGTTGGTCTGTCATTCTTGCTAAATGTTTTTTGTCAAATCCTAAATATTTTTTGCTATTTGTTCGTAGTTGCATGTGAGACTCTTTTTAATGAACAAGTGATGTGCTGTTTATCTACAATCTCTTCGTGTATGAATTTCTTTCACTTTGCCACCTTTCTCGCAGGCACGTTTTCACAAACTCATGTCTAGGGGTCTCTCCTCTGGATCTTACTTGGTTTGAACGGAGAAGCATGTCCGTGCTGTCATCTGGAGGTCACTCTCCCCCCACAGACTTAGCCTCACCTCCTTGGCTTTCAGGGTGCTTCTCCCCTGTCCACTCCTGCCTGGTTTCCAGATTCTAGGACCCTTTGCCTCCTGTTTCCTGCAGAGAAAGTGGTGGAAGCGGTGGTCCCAGGTTAGAGTCGGAGCCTGGCTTTACCCACTTTTCAGACTTCAAATAATTTCCTTGTTTTTGCCACCTAGGTTCTCTTCTACCTTCAGAGGGGCCTTATGCCTCCAATTTGTAGGCTTAAGGGGCTTTCGGGGGGATGAAAAAAGCTGACTTTTCATTAGACTTCTGAGGCTCCTAGGTTTCCCTTTTTCTGTTCTGCCAAATCATTTACCATTCTTC